CATAAACATTTGTAGAATACGGAACAAATCGCGTCCCGTTTCGGTTCAGTACGGGACGATTCCGTATTTTACGGGACGGGTTGCAAACCCAAGTCCACGTATTTGTGAGAAGACATTCTCGGTTGTGAACTTAAATAACTCCCACTTACAGACATCTTGCGCATCATTACCACTGCCTTTGAGCCAGACCTGGCTTATGTGCTGCAGTCCAGATCTCGGTATCACATTAATGCAGACAAGTCATTTGTCATTTACAATAAGTCTCTGAATAAATTTTGTTTTTGTTTTTTTAGGATCAAAATAAGTCATAAATTCAGACAAGTTTTCAGTTTTCACTCCAGAATAATAAACTTTTAAAAATCTAATCAACATTTACTAATATGTCATATTTCAAATGAGCCCTGCACTTGTTGATATGACTTGCTCATTTTTCTGTAATTTTATTTAAAAATTCTGTAAATATCGTTAGAAAAAAGTTAGTGTTAAAAAAGTGAAGTTAAGTGAATATTCAATTGCATATGATATGCATGTTTCAAATGAACCAAAAGACATGCTTAAGATCGCTGAAATTAAAATAAAAAAGCAAATGTGAAACACAGAATGGCTTGCTGAAATTTGTTTAAATATATTTTTGTTCTATGTAAAGAACATCCGCCAAGGTCGGCCCCCATACATTTTTAACACACCAAATTTGGCCCCCTTTGCAAAAAAGTTTGGTCACCCCAACCCATCGGAGGGTTACGGAGCCCCACTCTGTGGTACAGAAGTCACTTGTTGACCTCGTATCAGAGTGCAGCATCTGTTTTCTCTGACTTCCCACAGAAAGTCACAGGCAGTCTCTGGTGGGATATTTCCCAGATCTTTTGATCCACTCAGGAGGTATTAACCCATCAACACAGTGTGACAGCCCCTCGGTAGCACTTATCTCTAATGTGCGGTGTTAGGTTACCGTTGTGATCATGGAAAACCATCAGATAAGTTCATGTTGCTATGCTGCAGTGGCATGAGGAGTATGTCAGTTGTGTGTATGAGAAAATGTGCATACATGAATGCGTTCAGCTGTCATAAACAAAACCGTTTCTGTCTCCATGCAGAACTGAGGTCCACTGGTACAGCTCATCACTTTGCCTACCTGCTGAATGCGTCCGACTACCGGATCCTCCGTATGGATGAGGACCACGACCGCATGTATGTTGGCAGCAAGGACCACATCCTGTCCCTAGACCTCCATGACATCAACAAGAGTCCACATATTGTAAGACTTCTATTTATGGCTTTCACTATGACCCTAATCTGGGATAAACGTCTTCACCTCAGCAGCTGCTTCCAGGCCAAAAACGCAACGCAACACACAACTGTGAGGTGGAATCAAAATAAAGGCTTTTTGACGTCTTTTCCAAAATATGTTCTTGCATTTACAAGTCAGGGTCTGTCTCTATCAGGTTTGCACATCTGGAGACGTAATACAGTTAGTTGCCTGTTCAGTATCTTTAGCTCAGTATGATTGAATGAAGATCATGAGAGAAGATACATTTTCAAGTCTTGACTCAGATTTAAACTGGGTCTGAACTTTGACTCAGTCATTCTGAAACATAATTAGTCATGTCTTAAGATGGCCTAGTGAAAGTTAATTTGTTAGGCATACAGTCAGAACTGGATCAGATTATACCATAGAACATTCATGTAAGATGATGGCATAGTCAAAGTATTTTAGATCTAAACTTTGACTAGGCCATTCTGAAACATAGAATGTTCAAGGTTAGCCTAGTAAAATTTCATTTGCTAGGTCTGAAATCAATAGTCTAGTCAAAGTTTCAGGTGATTTTGTAACCTCCAGCAGGTTTTCTGCCTGTTTTTTTTTTTTCATGCTGAAGTAGGGCATCCCGTCTTCACGACTTTTCCACCACCGAATTAAGGGAATGTAATATAGACATTCCTTACTTTTCAGAATTTTACTTTGACATTTTTTAAAACCATGGATATTTTTCCTTCCACTTCACTATTATGTGCTACTTTGTCTTGGACTTTCCCAATGAAGTGCATCAACATTTCTGGTTGTTTCTTCCCCCCAGCTGCAGCCTTATGGGTTGTTTTTATTGGACTGCACTTTTTTGATGTTGGTTTCTGTAATGTGTTGCAAGACATAAATATTATTAAACTATGTTAACATTATAGCCATTTCAGCAGAACTGATATTAACATTTGTGGATTTGAATTTGTAGCTTTAACCTAGAGATTGGATAAATGACGCTGATGCGTAACAGGTTTGATCGTAGCAATGAAACACATTCTGGTCTCGCCTTTGCAGATCCATTGGCCAGTGTCCGAACGAAGGCGGACAGAATGCCTCGTGAGCGGGAAGGATGCCAGCGTAAGTATGTGCGAAGACGGCGCTTGTAAAATCTGCAGGGTCGTTCTGTTTGGGTGATTCCCATCAACGCTTTCAAAAATATGGAACATTGAAAGTATACAATTCTCTCCGTTGATTTTTTTTTTTTCTTTCTAATGTGGATGGCAAGTTTGAAAGGTTTTGAAATCAGCCCAGTAAAAAAGGATTTCCTCCTGCCTAGCCAAGCAGACATCAACAGATTACTGAGTGGCTTCCACTGGATGATAGTTTTTTTTTTTTAATATTTCTACATTTTGTACCGCTTCATTTTGGCAAATCAGCAGACGGTGCACCTGTTAATAAAATGACATGAATTGCTTTTTATTTGGATTTCACTTCAGGAATAATTTTACTGTTTTTCCCGTTTCCAGGAAGAGTGTGCAAACTTCATCCGTCTAATTGAGCCATGGAACCGGACTCACCTGTACATCTGCGGGACAGGAGCCTACAATCCAGTCTGCACCTTCGTCAACCGCGGGCGTAAACCTCAGGTTAGAAACTAGAACCTGAACACTGTGGAGCCAAAGAAGACACTCTCAGTAGATGGAAACAGTTTTCTCCACCTGTAGCATTAAGGATTCACCTGTCAAACCTTTCCCTCCTGCCGCCTCACCTTGGCCCTGTCCCAAAACGCTCACCACACCATACGCTCCTCTATGAAGTGTGTACTCCACTCAGAGTGCACAGAGAGGTTCAAGTGCAAATGTAGGGGACGTACCGATCCACTTTTTTAACATCCGAGACTGGTACAGACATCTGAGGTTCAGTTTTAGACGATACAGAAAAACAGTGCTGAATTAAAATGTTGTTTGTAAGCACAGAGTAAATGTACTGAATTACAAATGTATTTGATAACTCTGCATCAACACAACACAGTTTAATACAACGGACATAAACAATATGTTGACTTCATTGGTCAAACGTAAAAATTAAACGACAAACCTTTTTTCAAATGGTTCAGAAAGTGTAGGAATTATAAAAATAAAATGAATAATAAAGCATGACATCGCTCAGAGCACAGTGGATAAAATTAGATTGAATAGATCGTCCCTTTTGGATCGGGGAAATTGTCACTGATACCTGATGTAGAATTTTTTTACACTATCAGGACCGATGCAGATACCAATATCGGATTAGTGCATCTCTGCCACAATTCATCACGCAGCAATGTATTATGGGTAATACACTTTGATCTATTCAACCTAATTTTATCCACTGTGCTCTGAGCGATGTCATGCCACACTTTGGCTTAAGCCAAAGTGTGGCTTGAGGGACCAAGGGGACGTGGCGAAAGAGAACTGGGACACAAAACGCACTCGAACCCTTCAGCAGGAACTCGAACCCTTCAGCAGGAACGCGCGTTTGAAGGACATAAGGGTGGAAGTGGGAGTATTGGGACCAGGCCAACGTCGACCCTTTATGACGGTTTTCCTCCATCATTTGAAAACCAGCTCTCGGTGCCATGTGTCCACATGCAGTAAAGCAACCCGCCTCCCTCTCTGGTCTCAGCATTTACTGGAAGCCTGAACTAACGACTTTGCCACACTCCCCAGTAACACCTCACTGTTATTTTTAAAAAAAATTTTTTGTTTTTAATATCTCACTTGTTCCCAAACAGCAATTAAGGGAATATCCCTTTTAAAAAGCACTAAACTGCTGCATTACTGCTTCCTCTAGAGATCACAGAGAGCACGGTTTGCATGAGTTCCCTTTAAAAACACACAGTTCGCCTGTGACCACCCCACCACCCCCAGCACCACAAGGCTAATCAAGGACCTCCATCCAGTCGCTCACATATCCATCCACCGCTTCATGCATTCATCCAGGCAGGCCACCTGCCAGACTCCACCATGTGGGATGTTTGGTAATTGGAAGTGGGAGCTCCCATTATGGGGTGCAAGTGGAATGTTCCATTAATGAGGCCTGTTGTTTTCTCTGGAACAGCAAACAGACGGCCCGAGTCGTGCCCCCCAACAGCACCTTTTCTGAGGCGGGCCAGCTCGTAAACCAAAAGTCAGGAATCAAGCAGTTTTTACACGTGCCTGGTTCTTATTAATTCAGACGGGCTGTTGTTCTCTGATTGGACCCTTTGAGGATAGTTTTGGAGCGGTGTGCACACGTGGGTTTTGGGAACTGTTTTTAGTGAAATGTTTTTGCTTTTGCTGCAGATTCTAGCAGGTTGTAGGATAATCTGGCTGTCATTGATTTAAATGGAGGACAGGAGGGCTGCTGCTGTTCAGCCGTCCTACAGACATACAATTACAGCAACATGTACTTCCTGTGGAACCAAGTACGACCATATATAGTGTGCTAAAAGTCTCTTGAACTTTTTCACATTTTGTGACGGTACACCAAAAACTTTAATGTACTTTATCGGGATTTCATGTGAAATAATTAAGAAAAAAAAAATGACGTAAGATATCCTCCTGACTACCAGTAGTTCATTTTTGTCCTCTGTAGAGGACATTTCTAAACTTGAATATCTCTTGTGCAATTTTCAGAAATAAATCTTTTTTAAAAATGTGACATTCCAGCTGCCATTTAAGCTGCGTTCACAAAGCAGGTCTCGATCCTCTGCAATTTTTTGCTGAAATCAGATTTAAGTTTTTTGTTTTTTGCGTGATTGTTCGTGCTGCTAGTTAACTCTGACTGCACTCAGACTTCTCTGTGAACAGTTTACTACCCCGAAGCGACCCGTCTGCGCAGAGGAACAACACAGACATCACACAGCATTGCTCTGTTTACAGAGGTAATAATGGAATGAAAATAATGTTGCCGTCTTTGGATCGATTTTGATGTTAAGCAGTGGGAGCTGACAGTATTTCCCACAAGATCATAACAAGGCAAAGGCAGCTAAGATAAATAATCCTAATTTATCACATCTGACTTCTTCTGGTGCAAAAGTCACTACAGTGACATAAAAGTCTGAAAAATGTGACATGACACTTTGAGAACTACTGTAAACACGTCCAATTTAGTACCACATATGAAAGTAACACAAATCAGACTTTTTGGGAGGCGAGTTGATGACGGGATCTGAATTGGGCTGTTCAGACAATCATGAAAAAGTTGGATATGGAATCACATGTGCCTGACGTGTGGCTGTAGCCTTACTGTGCGTTAGCAGCAATATGATGTGTGGTTGCCAGTGAAGAAAAGTGAACCATTTTTATTCGTAAGCAATTTAGAAAAAACGGTTTTTGGCCTTTGACGTAAAATCCCAGCAAAACACATTGAAGGTTCTGCTTGTAACATGACAAAAAGTGAAAAGGTTCAAGAGGCACGTACACTTTTCTCCAAGGCACTGTGTCTGCTTTTGCGGTAAATGTTTTACTTGAGGAGTTTCTCATCATGTTTTGCAATCAGAAGAGGCCCATGCAATTCACCCGACTGCACAAGGAGGGCCTTGATCCTCCCTCGTCAGCCGCGTAACATCCAGACTGTATTGCTGTTTCCTGTTTTAGACGTCCATGTATCTGCAGATGGCCCTGGCCAGGGGAAGGGCCAGCCGCGCGGCCGAACCCAGCGCGGTGCACGACACACTTGGACTGAAGGTGCGATGCGGGCCCCTGTTTGCGCCGCGGCCCCAGCGGACTGCCGGGGCTGGCGGTCACCAGCAGCATGCCCTCCATTCTTTGTGTCTGAGCACATCCTGTCAATGCCATTTTTAATCTAAAAGCCATCGTTCGTTTATCTTTGTAACATTTAGCATGCGCCTTTTTTTTTTTTTTTTTTTTTTTTAAGTTTGTGCACCATCCTCAAAATTGAATTTCACGTTTCATTCGTACTTTCTTTGTGTCCTCCTCAGTGTCGCAGCACACCGTCTTACTCGTCATCGTCCTTTGTTCGTTTCCGCTTTCTGTATGTGTTAAATGCCACGTTTTGCATGAGCGCGGGGTTATCATGTGAAATGGGGCCGATCAGGCTGCTAAAAACACCAGGCGCAGTTTGAATTAAACAGGCTTTTGTTCCCTTTCAGCGCATGGCATTTAGTCTCATTTACCCCTCATATCAGAAACGGTGGATATTCTAATCACTCACGCTGCTTGTTTGAGTGAATCCAGCTTGCCCCGCCCGAGCAGCGCTGCGTCCCACAGAGGCCGAGTCAGCATCTGACCCACTCCCACAGCAGGGCCTGTTAGCCCAGAGCAAACACCAGCCATCTGTATCCAACTGGCTGCGCTTTGAGGGGAGGAAAACAGCAGCATACTTGAACATGTCTTCACTCGAAAGACTTTGGAACAGGCTTAACGTGAAATAGTTCACTTCAAAATTAGTTCATAGTTCCTTTATTTAAAATGTATTCGAGCCCCTTGGATCTGATTTTAATGTATTGTATTAGGATGTCTGTGGTAGACCAACACAAAGTAATAGAGTATCTTTTCAAACATATTTATAATTCAAATACCATACACTTTTTTTTTCTTTTTTTGCAAATGAAAATCTGAAAAGTGTGGCTTGCACTTGTATTCAGAGTCAATACTGTCCAAATTTTTGTCAGCTTTTCACATGAGGACACCACATTTTTATGCTCATTCTTTCCAAAATAGCTCAAGTTTAGATCAACTGCATAGAAAGCATTTGTGAACAAAAATGCTCAAATCCTGCCAAGGATTCACTAACTGATTTCTGTATGGACTTTGACTAAGCCATTCTAACTGATTAAATTGGCCTAATTGGCTCTGAACCATTCCTTTGTAGCTCTGACTATAGTAAAAATCTTCCTGGGATTTGTTTCTCAGCGCTGCTCCATGAAGGCAGGATTTGTGGAGTTGGTGACCACTAGTTGTCATAGCAACACACTGTATCTCCTCCAAAGTCATCTTATAGTTGCTTTGTTGTCCAGGCTGCATCTTTAGGTGGTTGACTGTGTTGGTAACACTTTATTTGAAGGGGTGTCCATAAGACTGACATGACACTGTCATAAACATGACATAACATCTGTCATGAACATAAAAAAGTCTTTATGAATGTTTATGACTGTTGTCATGAAGTGTCATTCGGTAAATAATGACACTTTTAATGCAAAGTTGCTCTAAAAGTTGCATTAAAAGTCCATTAAAAGTGCCAACTTTGCATGATTTTGTAAATAATGACAATTTAATGCAAAGCTATAATTTAACTGCATTTTTTCAACATTAGAGGAATACTGACAACGTTTTTTGCACATTTGCAATGGAAACACAAATTGTATTCGCTTTATGCCAATTTTTTTTTATAAAAACGACTGTTTGCAGTCTGTTTAATTTCAGGCTATCAATGCACAGGGTGTTGAATCCTAATATTTTCCACAGATTCCCTCCAAACACTTAAAACCATCCATCGTACACTTTACACTTTAAGATTATGTGCCAAGTTGTGTTGGTCTGTCATAAAATCCCAATAAAATACCATAAAGTTAGTTTGTAATGTGCCAAAAAATTTTAAGAGGATTGAATACTTTTGCAGCGTTTGTAACTTCTAATGTGACAGAACTAAGGTAGGATTTTGCGTGTGGAGGGTTGAGGTCTGGGCCGGACTAGCTGAGCTTGGAAGCCGTAGATAACTGCCTTCAGTTCTAGTTTGATTTTTATTTTTTGACGTTTCAGCTTTTCTGCAGGATAATCATGTCACATTTTCATACGAACCCATATAGACACATTTTTTCTTTGGGTGTACATAATTATATGCAACTTCTTTTTATTCTGCACTTCACTTTATGGCATGGCTTTGAGTCAATTAGCCTGCACCTTCTCTCTCTTTTTTTTTTCTTTGTTTGCTCGAGCGGTGATGTTAATCAAAGATGAATAGGTAATTGCAAGTGAAGTGTGTTTGGCACAGAGCCACAGTCTCTGTCCCTGATGGGAGTGGGGAAAAAAACGAAAAAAAGACGATGCACTCCGGTCTGCGAGGCTCGGCCACAGGACATGTCATCACATGCCACTGCTTTCATTTTACCCTACACATACGCAAATTCCTGCCAATCACCCACACGCGCTTGTGTGCTGGGAAGCCACAAGCATCGAGCATCAGTCATCCTGGCCTCCATGCGTGGCTTGTTTTTTGTTTGTTTTTTTTCGCCTCCTCTGCTGGATTACAGGTGTCGGCAGCCCGCGCTCCCACCCGTACGTACACACCGAGAAGAAGCTGAGAGGTTTCCAGCTTACTGTGTAGCGAGGCGCGGCCCACGACGCGTTTCTGAAGCTAGACCCGGCACGGGGACGTTGATTAAAAATTCCTCGCTTTCACTGCATGCATTTTTCTGTATGAACTTGCACTCATTATTCTAACACTTCATCCCCCCACCGGGCCCCGTGGGTCCCACAGGTGTCAGAGGCAACGCACACGTTCCCTCCCTCATCCTTCCCCCTCCAGGGAATCACAGTGGCAAGACGAAGAGTGCTGAATTTATTCCCATCTCTGTGAGGTTTTTTTTTTTTTTTTACGTTTTTTTTTTTTTTTTTCTGTTTCAGGAAGAAATTTTCCACTTGGAGCCTGGAAAAGTGGAATCTGGGAAGGGGAAGTGCTCCTACGACCCGAAGCTCAACAGCGTGTCAGCTTTGATTAGTGAGTATCGTTATGTGGGCTCGGTCGTGTGAGGACTCAGTTCATGTCCTTTCAAACATGACCGTGGGATATTTTTGGTTTCATCCCCTGTTTCGTTATGTGACATTTCTCTGTCATATATTATTATTAGTATTATTATTATTATTATTTCAGTATAGAAATGCTAGTGTTCAAGTCTTCTTTACTGTGTGGTGATGTTCATCTTAAAGCTCTGCATTACCTTTAGATGTTTCCAGACATGGAGGAATTTCAGTGTGAGGTTAATATTTACTGTAATGTATAATTAACCAATATGAAAATTGGGGCCAATATCAAGGACCAATATTGATTATTGCTATTATGTTTAATGGCTAATATTGTATATTTCACTACCATTTCGACACCTTTTGGGGATAAAATGACCAGAAACATGGCAACAAATAAAAATAAATATTGCTCTTTCATAACAGATTTGTTTTATTTGTCATACTGGTATGATAAAACATAAACATAAAGGTATGTTTTAGACAAAAACAATAAAAAGGGTAAAGCATCCAAAGGGGTGAATACTTTTAAGAGGCCCTGTAACGCAGTGACAGCTTTCAGCAACAAGTTGAGGAGGGACAGCACTACTCCTCCTCCTTCATAAAATCTATTCATTTTTATAAGGAACAAAATAATTTGGTGATTTTGAAACCGTGACTGAGAGTCACATTTTCATAGACTAAGTTTTTGTTGTTATAAATTTCAGACAATAGACCAATATTAAATGTTATTATTATTCTGCTTCCTTTAATGAACATTTAACCTAAATTGCAGTGGTTTTTTGATAATAAGGCTCATTGTGGATGCAGTAATTGATCACGATGCGCCGCCATAAGAAGCCACAGTCCTCCTCTGTCCTTTGGTCCAAGGTCTTTGAACCAGTTGCCACCAGTGGAAGGGGGCTCTTCTTTCTGTGGGGTGTAAATCACTGGCACCCCTTTCCCACATTAGCGCAGTACCATCTGACCGGCACGGTACCGGGACCGTCGTCTAAGATGGATTAACCTCCCACTGCCATCAGTTAGCTCCATACAAGGGACACCGTTGTTAGTGGTGATAAGGATTAAGAACCCTGCGCCACAACAGAAGATTTACCATTGACCACCAACTGCTCAGCTCCCCGCCACATTAGACACGCAATCATCTGTGGACGTTTTAATGATACATCATCAATCTCCCCACAGTGTCGCTCGGGACCATGACATTGTGTATAACGGGGGTAGAAAAGTATCTGGTTCCTCCTGCTGTCTGCGTACGCGGAGCCGTACACCTGCTTTCCACAGCGGCGCCATCAGAGCAGATGGAGGAACCAACACATTCGGCTCAACAGGCTCAACAAACTTACAGCCTGGATTTCTCAATCGGCTGAGTTTCTGTGTTTTGCCAACTGTAAAATTTAAAGTTCATTGCAAAAGTACAGACTTGTTTGTTTTTTTTCTTTTTTTTTTTTTCTTTTTTACATTTCTATTCCAACTCCTTTCAGGGGATTTCAGTTAAAGTTGCATAGTGCCGCTTTAATGAAAAAGATGGACTTTCCTGAACACAGACTCTGCTTCACACCCAGATGTTTTGCTGCACAGTGTAGAGAAATGCGCTTTATCAGAGTGTTAACCTGAACTGGGCCGGTCCGTTTTCTGTCCTTGTCAGATGGAGAGCTGTACGCCGGCGTCTACGTCGACTTCATGGGAACGGACTCGGCCGTTTTCCGTACTTTGGGGACCAAAACTGCAATGCGAACAGACCAGTACAACTCCAGATGGTTGAATGGTAACGATCCTCTTTCATTACGTTTTCCTCCGTGACTTCTTAATACACGACACAAACGGGAACATAAATGTGCCGTATGGTTAAAGTCTATTGTGGTGGTTGCGTGTGTTTTGATTCAACCAGCAGCGAGATTTCAAACAAATGTGTTCCCCCTTTTTCTTTTCCTTTCATGACGTAGATCCCACCTTCGTTCACGTGCACCTCATCCCGGACAGCGCGGAGAGGAACGACGACAAGCTGTATTTCTTCTTCAGGGAGAAATCCTCCGACATGGGTCAGAGTCCCGTGACCCAGTCCCGCATTGGACGCATCTGCCTGGTGTGTACACACACATACACACACACAGCGTGGAGTGGTTTCAGTTAGCTTAATGAAAAGAAAACCTGCAGCGTTTAAACGAAGAGCCTGCGCTCTCCTGAGGCGAGTCGCCCGCTGTGTTTGAACAGCTACAGGGTTTGGCTAACGCTAACATGCTGGAATCCACATGTGTCTTTAACCTTCCTGTCTACAATGCATCCTTCTGTTTGTGAGACTGCACTCTGACCTATGACCTCATGGTCTCCCTGGCCTCTTCTCCCTGGTAGTTCTGATATTTTTAGGTGATTTTTGTCTGGGGGGCGGGGGGAGGGAACGCCGGAAAACTGCTTTATTTCAATTAAACTGAAGTTCCTGTGTAGACGCTGGAAACTGAAAGCAAACTGAGGCCAAAAAATAAATCGCAACAGAAAGCTGGTCGAGCGTCAGCGCAGAAAAACAAAATCTTATCAAGTGTTTTTTGGTCTAGTTTCTAGTGCAAATATTTTTGTATATTTGAAAAAAAGGCAAGAAAGAAACTTTTCAGCAAGAAATAGGAGCTTTATAAAGTCAGAAACATCTAGTTCTGCTGGCAGGTTATTTAACTTATAATAAGACATTTTTTTTCCTATTGTAAGTGAAGTAATCTTTTTTCTTTAGTATTAAGGAATCACTGACTTAAATCAAGCTCCTATATCTTGCCTTAAAGTTACTTACGAGTTAGTTTTGTCTTATTTCAAGTGTACTTAGATATTTGCAGTAGAAACTAGACTAAAAATACTTGTTAAGATTTGGTGGTTTTGCAGTGACCTTGGTGAACTGATTGTGTTTGTACGGCTTATGTTAAGTGTGTGTGTGTGTGTGTGTGCGCGCGCGCATGTGTGCGTGTGTGTGTGTTTCCACCTCCATGAAGTTTATATTGTTGTGTGATCATAATGATGGGGATATGTACTTGCTTGCTTGTCGTCTCAGCTGTTCTCTATTGTGTTTGTTTAAAAGGGAGGGTGTGGGGGTGGGGCAGTGACCCGACACACAAACTCCCCCCTCCCAGCGGACACTACGCCGGCGCCCTCCAGAGGCCCGGCCATGCCGCTGCTAGTTCGCCTCACGTCTGGATGCTCTTGCTGCTATTCTTTACACTGATCTAATCGGGAGCGTAAACGCAGTGAATATTGTTGAAACACTTTCACTTCTTACACCGTCGATGGTTGGAAAAACAATGTGAACGACAGATATAGCTGAACTCGTCCTCACCAGGATGAATTCTGTCTTCACTCGGTAACAGCTGGAGGAGTAATAAAGGAGGAGATAATTGTTTTTTGACCCAGTCATCGACCCCTTTCTACCTTCCAGACCTTACAACCAGCCCTTTGTGCACACTCGCGTGTGTGTGTGCATGTGTGTGTGTGCATGCGTGTGTGTGCATGCGTGTGTGTGTGTGTGAGCTCCTGCACGGTGGTTTTTCTATGTGAAGAACAGTCAGAGGGACGTAGCTGATGGAGAAACTGTGTTTTGTGCTCGCCCCCTCCCTGCCCCCCCCCTCTCTCTCTCTCTCTCTCGTAACAGAACGATGATGGAGGTCACTGCTGTCTGGTCAACAAGTGGAGCACCTTCCTGAAGGCCAGACTCATCTGCTCAGTGCCCGGGACCGACGGCATGGAAACACACTTTGACGAGCTCCGTGAGTGTATACGCATTTCATCTGCAAAGTAACATCCTTAATAGTTTAGATGTGATCACACATGAAAGAACTGAAAAAACAAACTTTTTTTTTTTTTTTTTTTTTCCATTTTGACAAGAAACGAAGAGGAGCTTCATCACCCCTTATGAGTTCAAACACACATACTGTACACCCCCATGTGAAGCTCAAGTCATTGATACAGAACCGACAAGTTAACCTGGGAATAATACACGGGGCTGCGGTACCTTGAACTAATCTAAAAGAATAAAAATCACCTTACCAGGATTGTTTCTGTAATGGCAACTCGTTGGAAGAATACACACTGGTTCTATGCCTGTCTAGAGTCACAAAAACACCTTTGTGGTTTTATAGGTCGGGCCTTGATAGTCCATAAACTTTATAAAGTGTAAAATATTCATGTGTGGAGTCAGTTGACATAAATGACCAAGTGCTGAAAAGGTTCTGGCTCTTCCTTTTCCAAACGAGGTTTCTGCCTCTGCTGGTTAGTTCAGTGTTGACTCAGACACGGCAGTGCAGAGTGATTCTGTGAGATGGATGGTGATCACTGTCAGGCACCCATGATTAATTGTAGGATATTGTAGTTAAAGGCCATAAATGTGGAGCAAAGCAGGGCGGTGAAGGAACAAGGACAGACATGTCGAGGTACTGAGTGGGAGACGGCGCGCGTGTCAGATTTCAGAGCCAAGGACTCGGAGAAGGAAAGGTAGAGAGGAAATGATGGAGTTTTGTGTTTACTGTCTGGTTTGAGTGTTATTTTAATGCTGGTTCTGGAAATTTGTGGTTGTGGAGGAAAAATCTGTCTCATATGATCCACTAAGACAAACAGGCCGTTTATAGTTTATAGCAAAAGTATTTGCATACCTTTTACACGTTGTGTCACGTTACATCCACAACCTTGAATGTGTTCAACTTTGAGCTTTGGTGCTAGACTAACATGAGCTGGTGTATAAATACAGACTGGGATGGAAATCTGGACCTAAACACGATTGAAGACCAATTGCAAGACTTGAATATTAAAATTGAATGAACCTGAAATATTTAGGAAAGAAACATATCTATCTCTTTGTTTATCAGGTTTTTTTAAGTGATATTAATTGCCACTTTATCATTATTGCGGTAAATACCACAAAGTATATAAAATAATTTGCAGTCTATCTCACCCCTCCCTAATCTAGATCTATGGCTTGAAAATTTGAAACCATTATTACCAAAATATCTTCTTTGTTTCCTATATCCTAAAAAAACAACATGGATGTTGGTGGCTGTAATGTTCAGAGATATGAATATTTTTGCAGGGAATATCACATTTCTGAGATCTCAGTGAAGTGACATCACCTACCCTGCATGGCACAGATGCAGAGCAGTTGCTGCTGTGTGAGTCAGATTTGGGAGGAATCGCAGGCTTCCACTGGTTCTGTGAGTGTCGTCGTAAAATGTCTCAGCCTTGTTGCCTAAGGAAAGCCAGCGACCTGGAATTCTCCTTTATATTTATTTATGATTTGAAATAAACTTTTTCAGAAGAAGCACGTTATTTGGTGACATCCGAGATTTTTTGTTTCAGGGATATGCTGAGAAACAAATTGGTCGAACAGAAAAGGAATGGACCTGAGTAATCAAATCCCAAAGGCTGATCAAATTTTAAAGGGGCGGTATCGTGTGTTTTCCAGGCGCAGAGTGTCATTTTATAGCACAATCACTTAGCTATGTTAACTTTAGTTGCTATAAAAATTCTACATACATTTCAAATGTGACTTAAAGGAAATTTGGCTTTGTAATTTAACACCTTGAAATTGGCCCTCTGTCTCTTTAAGAGGCTCCACCTACAGGAAGTCATCACAACATGGCTCCTCTATTTAATAATGTTTTTATCAGCGTTCCACTGAGAAGTAGCTCCTTTAATGAGCTCAGCAGAAGTGCAGCTCCACCAGGTGTTTGCTAATTGTTGCTGGCTAGTCTGAAGGAGCTGAGTGGGGGCGTCGTGATTTGCAAAGCTGAATGGTTGCCGTGGGAGATTAAAGGATTCCTCAAACATGCATGACGGAATCAAGACAACATCCAGGTATTGAGTAACATGATGTAAAGCTCAAAAAAGTCGACTTCACAAAACGCTGCCTCTTCCCGTAAAGCTTTAATGCTTCAGAAATACAGGAAAGCGACATGTGAAATGGGAATCGCTGTTAAAGCTGTTATTAATATGAGCGCTCCAGAGCGATCACATCACCGACGCATCAGAAGAGCTTTTCAGTTTCCTCCCTTTGAAGCCGCGATCCGTTTCTCTTCTCAGACGTATCTCTCTTTCCAGTGTGCGCTTGTGTTTCCTTCCATGCAGATCCACAATTTCTGGGACAGCTGTATGTCATGACGAGGATCTAGTGTTGCGTGACGTCCGTGGCAGCTCGTTGGTCTGCAGCCGTCCTAACCCATGACCGTTCCGCTGCTGAGTTTTTTTGTTGGGGTTTTTTTCGGGGCAGCTGAGGGAGAGATTGAATGGGTGGGAAGATGTTTCTGGTTTTCTCCAGAGAGGAGCTCCGGGCTGCAGACGGTCCCTGGAGGACGACTGGACCAGAAACCAGCAGTTGACAGTCAGACAATCCTCACACCAGCCGTGTATCACAGCATCTACACAGGAAGCTGACAGCTAATTCCTCATGCTGCTCTACATGAGACGGCGAGAGCATAAATCTGGATTGGAATACGTATTCTTTCGGTTCCTCGCTTTCCGAAGCGCTAACGCTGTATTTTTAGCCTATTTTTTTTTTTTTAACCAAACAGGGTTTTTTTCCCAACTAGGTTATAGCAGCTCGTGTTGACGGCCTTTGTCCTGTCGCAGGCAGCGAACACGGCTGTCTCCTGGGAGCAGTATTTAGGTCAGGTTCTGAAACAGCAGGAAGACTTATCACCTGTACTTGGCATCAAACAAAGGATGAGCTAAATCAGGCAGTGCCGGCGTCAGAGCTCTGCGGGACGACTAGTGGGAATGTTTGGGATTCAGGAACCTGAAGACCTGGCTTCAGTCGTTATGATGCTGCTGGCCTATCAGATGAGAGATTCAGAACCTCCCAAAGGTTTTTTATACCCTTTGAAATGCCTCTTATTTTATGTCATAACAGCCACAACTTTTAAGTTGAGTTTATTTGTATAGCACACTTTATCAATAAGGCACTTCAAAGTGTTTTTACACCATAAAAACATAAAATAATCACCAATCATGAACTAAGCTATAAACATTACTGGATTTTGTCCAAATTATCAAGCAAATGCACATCAAATATAGTTATTATGAATCAAAGACAGCTGGTTTCAGCCTTGATTTAAAGGAACTAAGGGTTTTCGGTTGTTTTGCAGATTTCTGGAAGTTTGTTCCAGATCTGTGGTGCTTAGAAGCTGAATGCTGCTTCTCCACGTTTGGTTCTGGTTCTGGGGCTGCAGAGCAGAACCAGAACCAGAACCTGAGAGGACTGGAAGGTTAATACAGCAACAAATCTTTAATGCATCTTTGTGCTTAGCTGTTCAGTGATTTATAAACCAACTTAAGTATTTTAAAGTCTTTAGTGGTTTTGACAAACATAAACTTAAAAAGTGTTTCATGCATATGTCTCAGCATCTTAGTCAACTGTAGAGACTGAAAAGTTGTTTTTTTTTTAACATTCTTTATTTGCAAAATACGTCAACCTCTGTTGGTTTGGATGAAAAACATGTGAAGAGCAGTTTTGTTTTTTTCTTTACAAAATGCAACATATTCTCCATGGATGTAGGTCTGGACTTTGACTAGGTCATGCTACAGAAGTTGAAAATGTTCAAGTAAAAGAAATTCTACCTGTCGTTGTTCTAGGTTGATTTAACTTTGTGCTGCTGTTTATCCCAGTTTCAAGTTGCTTGGAGCTTATAATATTTTTTTTCTGTTTTTTTTCCTGTATTTCCACTGCAAAAACACAATCCTCACCAAATAGTTGTGGTTTCTACTGTAAATATCTTGGTACACTTGAAATGAGACAAAACTAACTTATAAGTAACTTTTCAGCCTAGATATGGAGCTCGTTTAGGTCAATACTTCCTTAATATTGATAATAAAAAGTACTAGTTCCACTGGCAAATTGTTTCATTTATACCAGATTTTTCCCATGTTTTTCATGTGTTCACACTGTTGAGCTTCATTACTGGAAATCAAAACTACAAACCAGGGATTCTACAGGTTTCAGCAACTCAAATTTAAGACTTTTGTTCTAAGATTTCTCAAAGACCATGACAAATGAAATTTAAGAGCTGTAGCGTGACAGAAATGTGCAAAAGAAAATCACATTTCATACACTAGTTTTTTTCACAAAATGCACATAGGACACTTGGGTGTTATTATTTTCCAATATTCTCTGATTATCCAAAAAGAAAGATGGATCTGTGAATATTCTTCCAGCTGAACAAACAAAGGGACTGCCGCATGGCTGGAAATGTTCACTAGCCTGTCTTTTTGTGAAGTAAAATCTTTATCTTTATCAATGCATTAATCTGACTGCTCTGTTCCTCCTTATAGGAGACGTTTACATCCAGCCAACTCAGGACACAAAGAACCCCGTCATCTATGGCGTCTTCACCGTCTCCGGGTTTGTTCCCTTCGCTGAAAACCAAACCTGCTGTGTTTCTGTCGTCCGTGAGGCGAATTTACCTGCTCTTACGTTTTCACCGCAGGTCCGTGTTCAAAGGCTCGGCCGTTTGCGTTTACTCCATGGCCGACATCCGCATGGTCTTCAACGGGCCCTTCGCCCACAAAGAGGGTCCCAATTACCAGTGGGTGGCGTACACGGGGAAGATCCCCTACCCTCGCCCCGGCACCGTAAGCCCCTCCTCCTAAAGCAGCTGAGCAACATCCAGGCATCAGCATATCCAAACTGAAGTTATAACTCTTAGGCTTCATTTTGAGCAGCAATTCTTGTGGGGGGAGAACTTTAAAAAAAAAAAAAAAAAAAAAAAGTTGCGCTCCAGCTCAGGTCATTGTGTTTTTTTTCCCCCAGTGCCCTGGAGGAACATTTACGCCCAGCATGAAGTCCACAAAGGACTACCCAGATGAAGTGATCAACTTCATGAGGAATCACCCTGCCATGCACAATGCAGTCTACCCAGTGCACAAGCGCCCCCTGGTGGTCCGAACCAACGTGGACTATGAGTTCACCACCATCTCAGTGGACCAGGTGACGGCTGCAGACGGCAACTATGAAGTGCTCTTCTTAGGAACTGGTGAGTTGTTGTTTTTTTTTTTTTGTTTTGTTTTAACTTAAGATGTGATTTGATTGGCTCGGTCCATCATTAAATTACATAATGACAGAAAAACTCCATTCTCCATTTATTGTTTAATTCATTTACTTACATATTATTTATCGCTTTGATTAACATGCATTCCATTGTGTATTTGTGTCTGTTACTTACCGAAAATTAAACTATTTAACAACAGGAATGAAAGTCGGTCCAAAAAATGTCAGATTTATTAAGATGTTTTTTGCTTCTGATCATCTTTGTGTTACATTTGAGCAAGAAAGCAGTTCTTGTGAGTGAAAGGTGAAAAGCCAAAGGTTGGTTCATGCTACATAAATGTGATTTGATGGAATATTTGCCCGAAACGATGGACAGATCCAGCGTTCCTCGCCGCTACAGTTTAGTTTCTAGCTGATGAAGGTGAACCCTTTGATCCGAGTCGACACACTGAGTGACACTGTGGAGAACAGGATGGCCCCCTGTGGAAATAAACCCCATGTAAATGAGGGGCTCTTATCTTTCAGACAAAAGCATTCTTTCCTTTTTGTGCTCGAGTGGAAATTTAACCAATCAAAGGGTTTTTCTCACCTCTCTCTGCTCACATGGAGTAAACAAGAAGATTTGTACCTGGAGGGCAGAGGAGGATGAGCAGCGGGAGGGAAAAGAACAGTGCAGGAGGAAGGAGGGTCAGAGTTAGCGTAGCCATCACCCTGATCCTCCCTGCTGCTGGGAGACACCGCGCAGCCTGCTGCCCTCACATGCTGCGCGTGGCGCCTCCTGACTCCTTTGTGCCGCTGAGCGTCACCGGGATGCAGAAGAATGCGTGTTGGGGTTCAGAGGACATCATGAATCTCGGGTATCAAACTCACTGGAATTCTTCACGGAAATCAAACGGAGCAGGGAAAATCGCCCAAACAGGCACTTTAAGACGAGGACGCAGTCAGCAAGAAGAGAACATCACGTCACTGGAAAAAATAAATGGTTAACCTGGTGAGAGTTATGTGTACAGCATGTTGATGCTGGGATTATCCTCACTGATGACTGCTGAGAGAGTCAAACACGCCTCTGAGGGGCTGCGGGTGGTGGGGGTCGGTGGGGGCGGCAGCCGCGTAGCTGATGGGTGTGTCTTGTGCTCCCCAGACAAGGGAACAGTTCAGAAAGTCATCGTCCTGCCCAGGGACGACCTACAGACCGAGGAGCTGGTTCTGGAGGAGGTTGAAGTTTTTAAGGTGAACCCTCTGCACGCTGCATCACTTTCACTTGTTGCTTATTCTCAAAGAGAAAAGCTAACAGAGTTTCCTGGCTGTTTTGCTTGCATGTCAAGGTTCCCACTCCTATAACGACGATGAAGATCTCATCCAAAAGGGTAAGCGAGCGCAAACTCAGGTTTGCTTCCGGTTTTCTAAACCTAGCTGGAAATAATGACTGACAAACTCGGTTTGCTACACGATACAGTCGGTAGATGCAGAGTTGGGGTTAAGTGCAACCTGCCCTGATCATAAAACAAATTATGCCTGAAATGATCTTCAACATAATTTACCCCTTCTTCTACGCTCTGTGTGGTCAGTAACTCTTAGTGCTGTCCTC